TATTTTAATCTCACAAAATATCGATTTTAAAGTACCATCGTTTACTCTACTTTTGGTCCACGTTGATTGCAATACAAAAAGAATACAAGAATAATGACCCTTACACTATTCCATTCCATTTTTGAGCATGACTCATATGGGCATGGGCAGATAAAACAGAACATGTACCTGTCAGTTATGCGTTTAGGTATGACATTTAGTCACTTTCTATTTTATACCAAAATAATTAATGTTATCATTAATTAAAAAAAACAGTTTAAATATTTACTTCATAACCAATAATAAGTTTATGGTATTGTATCCGAATAAAAATCAGAATATTCTCATGATACCTAAAGAATATTCCCCACCTCTTTCGTTTGATTTGGTTTATGGTTTTATGTAAGGATCTTGATTTATAATTAATCAAATCATGTACGGAATTAAACATCGTAATTATTTTGAAAGCAAAAGAATGCAACATTTATATGGTGGATAAATTGCTTATTTTTGCAATTTCATTTATTTTATAAGTATTTGTGTGTCATTCAAATAATTTTGTTGTATTATACAAAATAATTATTTCATCATATATTTATTTCTTTTATGGTCATTGGACAAAAACTAGTTACAAATAAATATCATTATGAATAATTACTCAGCATCTCCGATTTTGAATTTGGTCCAAAACTATTCCTTGCGGATTGAGACAATTTACAGATTCGGTTACTACATTTGTGAATTTGGTTTAAAAACTTCTTATTTTTTTTACATTGAGGAGTTGCCATTTGGAAAAAAATGACTAAAGATGAAATCAGAGCCTGAAAATGGATGTTTTAATTAATTTCCATAAGATAATATATATTTAAAATATAAAATAATATATAATTATTCATTTCATATTATAAACTTAAATAAAATGGTAAAAAGACCTAAAGAGCATTTTTTTAGAGATTATGGACAAAAATATAATAAATTATAAACCACAAGAACGAAAATCATAGTGAATAAGTATAGTTTTCATCTTCCATATATGCATTTTACTGAGCAAATGGGACCTCATTAACCCTATCCATATTTCTCACTAAAATCATATATAAAATCATTCCACCATATTTAAATCACACTTTCAAATATTTCGCTAAACCTTAGTAGACCAAAATTGTAGCTTGCTCTCTTTTGCATCAAATCAAACACAATAATTTCCTTGATATCTTTTATTTTTATTTTTTTATACATAAATTTAAATATAAAATATGATTTTATCAAATATTATTTAACATGATTTTTAAAGTACTTATATAATGATGTAACATTACATTAATGGTTTGTATTATTTATCCAATTCATATTTAAAAAAATAAACTTATATAAAATTTTATCGATCGAAAAAGTAGAGAATCGCATCTTCAATAACCATGTTAAAATGAAGAAAGAAAAAGAAAGGATTTTAGCAATTTTTTTTGGCTTCAATAACTATATTATCTTATATACTAAAATAGAGAAAAGATAAGAGAAATTGTAAAAATCTCTAAATTTAAAGAAATTTTTTAATAGAGAAAGAAATTATTATTTTAATATTTCTCACCAGTAAAAGAATTGAAAATAATGTTTAGGAAAGGGGAATAATATTTTATTAGATATATTGAATATTTTAATAATATAGTTGATGTTATAACATCTCCAATAGCTTTTTTCAAAAACCCAGAAAATAAAAATTTTGAGTTAATATTTTACTCCAAGAGCTTCCTCAAAACTATCTCCAAAATGAAGAAACTAGGAGAGAGATAAGAGTTTTTTTTTCTCCAAATATGAAGAACACATAAAAAATGATTACCAAGTGAAACCACCGATAAGAAAATTGAAAAATAAATATTTAGAGAAATATAATATTTTAATAAATGAATGAAATATTTTAAAATTATAATCAATATCGGATTCTTTAGAATGGATAATCTGTTGGAGATAAATGTAATTTTTTTTGGAGATTTTGACTTTTGGTTCTTCATTTTGAAATTTTAATAAAAAATCTGTTTGAGATGTTCTTAGAATGATTAAAATAGAGTAGATGTTGGAGTTTAATATATTCTTTCTAAAGATTTTGACTTTTGAAACTTTATTTTAGAATAAAAAATATAATATATTCTAAAATTCTTTAAATTTAGAGAAATCTCTTAATATAGAAATAAATTATTATTTCAATACTTCCAAAAAATATTAAAACAAACGTTTAGAAGAAGAAAAAAATATTTTATCAAATATATTAAATATTTTACTAATATAATTATTATTAAAATAAATAATTAAATGTGATTTTTTAAAATTATTATCTTATTTTTAGAAAAATGATATGTTTTATTAGAAGAATATATGAATAAAATTAAAGCAGAAATAATAGTGAATAGTATGATAATATCACCGCGCATATCTTTTGAGTGTTTGACGTTAACACAAATTCCTAGGTTTTTATCCAATTGATTTATAAATGTAATTTAAATTTGTTTATTGAATGATTGAGAATAATTAGGTGGGGGCGTACCTTTTTTTCGGACAATCTGACGTTGCAATGACTCCACCGTTCAAATTTCAGATACATCGTTATACCATTATTTCCGGATTTTTTAATATAAAATAATCCTATATATATATGGAATTAATAACTCTTTTTTTTAATGATAACAAATCGATTGTTAAATAACTTATTTTATTTTTGAAAAAAAAAAAAAGTTGAATATGATAAATATGACAGGTTGTATCCAGGCCAGGTTTTACTACGTCTCTCGGATCTTATTTTCCTCAAATCGTTTGATCATCTTACACTATTACCCCCTACAATATGGAGATATTTCATTTTCGTACCTTATCGTTAGATGAATTGCAAATAAGACAAATTACATGAAAAATATTTTCCATAACCATTATTTTGATTAATAAGACGTGACATCTCAAAACATTTAAATACTTGAATAATCAATCTAATCGTTAACAGATTATCATGTTGGCATGACGTATAAGATTGCATCCAACTTGGTTTGACTCAAATAAGTTTAAGGGTAAGGTTTGAAACGTCGCGATAAAAGAGAAGTTTCTACGTGCTCCTCTTTTCTTTCTCTGGGTCCACGTCATTCCCATTTTCATGCTTTAAATCCATCCCCCACGCCAGATTCAGTGATTTCCTTTTTTTATCATTAATAATCATGATTTGAAATGCATGTATGGTCTTTTTGGGTAATATTCCGTTTTTTAGGCTTCTTAATTTGTCAATTAACAATACAGAATCTTTTATGATTATGTGATTCTTTCTATGCGTTTTTTTGATTTTTCCTTTTTCAAATTATTTGATTTACGTTAGGTAGGTTCTCCGTTGCTTGCCATGTGTCATAAACTTAGGTTGGGAGTTCGGACAATGCTTAATGGTGGTCAATTGTGCTTGAAATGAACTCGACGGTCCTAGTTTAAAGTAATCACAAAAGCCAGTTGACGGTTTTCTACGTCTTTCGGAAAAAAATATAAAGCAAGATGAGAAGTAGCCAAATAGTTGATATAAATAGGCAAGTCGTAGGAGTAGGTCGTTCATATAGGTAGTTAACAACTCCATCTTTTGGTTTAGTTTGTCTGTTCTCGTTTATACTTCCAATTACCGGTGGGCGAGCGCTTGGACGTTGACATTAATCCACTTGAAAAAAAACACGGTCTGAAGAAGCCGGACACAAAAAGCAAAGCACAATATATTTTCATAATTGGAAAAAAAAACAAATATATATCTATACTATATAATAAAGCATTTGAAAAAATCTTAATTTTTCATGCCTACAACTATTAAAACATTAATTATAAATCTATCAATATCTTAAATCTTCATATTTAAATTCCATAAATTAACTGATAAATATAATCAAATACAAGATAAACGTTAAACCATAACAAAATTAATAGCCAATCTAAAATATTATTGCTATCTTAAACCATAAAACAAAATTAAGAAAGATAAAAATAAAAATAATAGTTGGAATTCTTAATCTATACTATATTATAAAACATTTGATAAGAATTCTTAAAACCATTTTTTATATATAAAGTACTGTTTATTGATGCATGTTACTTAGAATTCAATATTGTGAGTAAATTGTGCGTAAGTACAACATATTAAAATTCCATATATGAATTCGTGTAAGTAACTGCAATAAACATAATCAAATACATGATAAATATCTTATTTTAAATGTGAAAAATCTAAAATATAATTAGGATAATCATTGAGTTCTAACAGAATACTTTATTATTATCTTTATAAAATATTATATTATTAAACCAAAAATAAATTACTTCGTTATTAAACTTAAATTAAATTATAATTTTTTTAAGAAATTACATAAAAATAAGAACTTTTAAATAGTTAATTTGATACTAACATTGATATATTTTATTCAAATTTATATTTTATTCAAAAATAAAATCGTTATTGCTTTTTTAAAAACACATAAAATCGTATTATAACTTCGATATCGACAAATAATATAATAAAACATTAAAATCGAGATGTATATTACTGTATTCTGCAAATATTCTTTTAATTTTTTAGTTTGAAAAATAAAGATATGATACAATTTAATATTTAATAAAAAAAGATTAAGGGACTGTTTGACAGTTCCTGAATGGTTTTATGCAGAATTATTAAGTGGTCATAATGATTAAGATGCTCTAATGATATAATGCAAAATGAAATATAATTATTTACAATAAAATTATGACTCTTAATGGTTAAGGGAGACTCAAGATACAAAATCATTCAGAGGGTTTTAGAACAATTAAGAGACAAACTTTTTTTGCCAAACAAGATTAACTTCTTAACGATTTAAAAATTGTATTTTAATGAAACTATTAAGAGATAAACAAACAACCCCTAAAACATTATTTTGTTTGAAAAAGAAAAGTTTGATCTTATCCTCGAGATAAAAAACTAAGTTCCTATAAATGCGGATTAGCCTACGGCTGCCATCCTTCGATCAATTTACCCAATCTTTCACTATATAAAACTCCAATTTTCTCTTCTTTGCAATTCAATCAAAAACCAACACCATCATCAATGGCGTTCAAGCAAAACCTAATTCACCGGATGTTTAACATCTGCAACAACAAATTTTCCAACCAGACGTTACGGAATTGCCGTATTTCTCCATCCTCTGCCGCCGCCGCTCATGTTTTAATGCCACCCAATCCCGACAAGGTGGCACCGGATCCAGGAGACGAGACGGTCTTCCGGAGGTTTCTCCAACGCCGGCCGATGTACCTTGCGTCATCCGTCATGCCGGAGATCCTCCGATCGAGAGGTGAGAGCATGTTGGAGAGGCTAAAGGAGATGGACATTACCAGAGGCCGGATCCGTCTCGATGTACTCCGTCCTCCGGTGGAGAGATCTTCCGAGGGGGAGTTGTCGGTGGCGCAAGCTAAGAAAATCCTTAGGGTTTCGCAAATCGAAACGTTGAAATCGAAGTTGAGAAACTGTCATAAAAATCACGTGTCGTATGAAGAATTCGTCGAAATCTGTGTGGAAGGTTGTTCGAACATAGATCAAGGTTTAGATCTAGCGAAAGCCCTGGACGATTCGGGTTCCGTGATCGTATTAGGAGACGTTGTCTTCCTCAAGCCTGAACAGGTTGGCACCTCTTTCAACCCTAATATCATTAATTTTCAATTAATAACCCTTAGAAATTGCTGCTTTTGTTCTTATCATTTCTGTTTTTTACAGAATCGAATGATAGGCATTTGGGGGTTTTTAGGGTTTGCATACATTTTTGAGTTATTCCATTTTAGATAGACCGAAATCTGATGAGCTCTTTTGTATTATTGTGTGATGTTTTTTCTCCACAGGGAAGAATGAGAAACCAGATCTAAACACGTGTAGTTTCACACGTTTGTTTGAGGTGGAGACTGACCTAGAGACTACTTTGATTCGTCTTCCTCCCCCACCCCCAGGAAGAACAAAAAAACCCTTTTCTTGCCGGATCAAACATGGCAACTACTCAAAAAAATCTTTTTCCAAAAACAATTCTTTCAGTTATAATTTTAATCCAAGCACAAAGGGTATCTCATAGAGAACCTAGGTTTTCAAGATTGAAGAAGATTGATCGAGTTAATTCTATTGATCAATCGTTTTACCCTTTTTCCAGATTGCCAAATCCAGTTACATGTACATGTACATGTACAACTTAGCATAGCAGTTTTGTTTTGGATTTGGTAAAACATACTCTGGAAAAAGGATTGGGGGTTTGACTATATTTTCAAGAATAGGGTGTGGTCAAAATTGGGATTAGCAAGTAGTTGTGTTCAAGAAAAGAACAAGTTGGATTACGGGTCATGGGTGTGTGAGTTTTTGGGTGTGTTTGGTAGGCAAAGTAATTTGTACAAAGAAGTGTTATTTTACTTTCTTTTTTTTCTTTCTTTCTTTTTCCAATTTTTGGGTGGTCAAAGTTGATTAGGGTCAAAAAAATGTGTAGCAAGCGTCAAATTTCATAAAAAGGGTCCAAAAAATGGTGTCAAAACGTGAAGTTGGGTGAGTCTTGTTTTACCAACAGTTTTGTATTACAGGTGGTGAAAGCCATCCATGGCCTGCTGCCCACAAATTTGGCAGCCATGCACAACCTACCGGTGAAAGAATTGGAAGAGATGGAGCGGTGGAAGTCAGCCATTGACAGGAAGGCGAAGAAAATGGTTCAAAGAGAACTATGGGGTGGTCTGGCATACCTAGTGGTCCAGACGGCAGCATTCATGAGACTCACATTTTGGGAGCTCTCATGGGATGTAATGGAGCCCATTTGTTTTTATGTTACATCGATTTATTTCATGGGTGGATACGCGTTTTTCTTGAGGACGGCAAAAGAGCCCTCTTTCGAAGGCTTCTTTGAGAGCAGGTTTCGTACGAAACAGAAGAAGTTGATGAAGTGTGAAGGGTTTGATGTGGAGAAATACAAGGAGTGGAGGAAAGCTTGTTACCCCAATGAAGAGCCATGGCCAAGTGAAAATGATGACGGGACTAAAAAGTCATTTACTTGAACATAAATTGAAAAGTTAGAAGAAATAGAAAAATATATTATCCTACAAATCTTTGCCTTTTAGATTCAGGCACCAGCGGCGTTATGTAAACTTAACTTGGAGAGTCCAGTCTTGGTTTTGTTTTTGCTTTTAATGAGGATCACAAAGAATTCAAAAAACACGAAGCTGTAAAGATTGATTTGAGAGTTTTCAAATATTTCAATTTATGAAATGGGTATTGCTATATGCACCTCCTAGTCCTACTATTAAATGGACCGGAAATGTAAAAAGTAAGTCAATATGTAGGTGTTGGGGTGTTTAGAATAGGGGTGGACTAAATACACCTCTATCAATTGCTGTCAGCACCCCTAACACTACTTTAATGATTATTTTTTTTTGTATTTAGGGTTTTTTTGTCCTTTTGTTATCATTAACTTTTGTTTTATTATTATTTTAATTAATTTTAAATTAATTTTCATTAATATAAGTTATTGATTTGATTTTTTTTTATTTATATTATATTTTAATTTATATAAAT